TTAATCTACGTTTAATAATTAATTATATCAATATTCTGTGGAAGATAATATAAGATAATATAAAAGATGGGAGATAATATAAAAATAAAATAAACGGGATATTTAAATAAATATAAAAATATAAAAAATATATATATATTATATCGTGAACATTTTATGAATATATTTTATACTTTCACTTTACTACGTATATATATAGTTAAATTGATATATTACTACACTTAATATGTATTGTATTAATTTATATCATATTGTGTTACCTATTATTATATTAATCTACGTTTAATGTTCTATTAATTTAATTTTGCATTAAATTAAATTTTAAATCAATTTAATTTAAATTCAATTAATTAATTTACGTTAATTGAATTTCACTAATATTCAACGTGTATCCTACACCACATATTATGTAACGTAAAAACAAACGATTAATGAATTTTTCGAAAGAGGCTCAAAGCTTCTTGGAGATGAGGTCAAGTTTATTGCCGCGTAATTTCTTCTTTTCGCATGATCCGAATAGTTTCGTTTATTAAATGGGTGTCGCTGCATGCACCGATACCCTTTCTTTTTTGTTTTCGTTTTTGTTTTCTCATCGGCGACAGACGCTCGATCGTTACTCGAACGATCTCTTGTTTCTCGTTAACAGCGAGGAAAATTATCTCCGCGAGCGTCGATAACACCGCCCTTCCTCTCGTTATTTTTACATTCCAATGGCTCACACCACCTAATGAACTGTCTAAGAATCTCAGTTTCCGTCCGGCAAACACGCAAACCAACCTTTTCCATTCCACCATTCGAGGATCCGATATTTTTCTCTCTCTCTCTCTCTCTCTCTCTTTTTTCTAATTTAATAGGGAATACTCGTGCCCTCTGTCGACAAGAATAAAATCCGCGGGGAATATTTCTGTAAACAAACAAAATTCCACTGTCGCTGTAATTCCCATCCGATCGAGGTTTATTCGCTGCGGTTTGGACGAATTGGAACGCGTTTGACGAACCATTTGCTTGGGGGAACACCGGCTGAGGCTGCCTCTTTGGCACCGAATTCAGGCAGATCGTGCCAATTAACGTGTAAACCAGCGAAGAATGGACGGCAACGAGTTACTAGTTACGCGCTTTAACGCGTGCCATTGCGGATGTCGCTGGCACGCAGCGCGCCTTTCAAGGATTAACTATCTCTCCCCGGTTGGCTCTCCCTTCACACTGTTTCCCAAATCATTATCAGACCGAAGACGCGAACCGAGCCTCGTGACAACTGTCACACGCATTTTCAAAGAAAGAATTCAACAATACTTGCATACATCATTCAACTTGATATTTAAGAAATTATTTAATCCCTTTGAATCGAATACTCTGCTAATTAAAAGTATTGAATTGTACGTTTAATTTAATTAAATTTCGTTAAAAGAATTTTCAAATTGTTCCAAGAACATCGGATAAGTCAAAGAAAGTTGTTTCTTGTTTAATAGTAAAAACAGCCAAGTGCTTCTTTTCATGTTTATTTTGAAATATCACCTAATTTTTGTCAGCAGTGTAGTTCTCTCTTTGGATGAATTCTTTGGAAATCCTTTTCAATAAAATTTTTGTATCACATTTACGTGATAGTCGCATAAATTATTCTGATTATGGCACAGTAGGTAAAAGTTAGGAGCGCGATGTAAGACTTTTTTGAAGCTAACCACAGGAATATCACCTTGTCACGGACTGGCACTCGCCTCGAGTTACAAAGCGTTTTCATTATTTCTAGACTGATGGTTCGCTGTCAGTTCTGCTAACTTCATCAAAGCTTGGTGAAAGTATCGTGGTTAAGCTGACAGGTACCAACATAGCAGCGTTACGTTGGTGAGACGCTGTCCCCCCATAAATAACGAACACCGAGCTCAAAGAGTCGCAAAAATCGCAAAGTCTCCAATTCCTCGCTTCTGCATAAAGTGATTCGCCATTCGTGATTTTAGCGATAAAAGGGAAAAAATTACACGTTCAATGTACAAGCATTTGCTTAGTGAAAATTACTCGATTGTTAATATTACGAAATTAGTTAAACATTGGAACTACCAAAATCGTTTATTAAAGACACTGTATAATTCACGATACATTAACATATTAATGCCAGCTGGTCGTACGGATAAAAAGCATGTTTGCTCGTCAGCTTTATCAGACGTTAAGCTCGGCCCCTCTTTGTGTGTCAACTTAATGCCACTTCAGCTCCGAGGGGGAAACCCCTCGGCTATACCACTCGACTCACCCTAGTTCTTTCCACCCAGTCTATTTTTTTCACCTATCCTCGTTGTCTCGATCCTTCCTTTTCCTTATCTACTTCTTTCCCACGACGTCGAATTCTTCAACGCTCTCCCTCACCCCCTTCTCGAATTTATGGCTCTTCGTTCACGCGAATGATCTTCTCGATGATCGTGTCTCATAATCGCAGTTCACGTACGAATAATGGAGAATTTATATAGGGTGTCAATTCGGATTCGAGAACGTATTAACCTCTTGTGTTGGAACAACGTGCCACGCACGTCGAGAGTTTTTTGCCGAAATTGCAATATTTTCTCAGTTTCAAGTATATTCAAATATAATTCAGGAAAAATAATAAATTTATCGCTTCTTAGTAATAATTTCTATCCAGCGATATCATCTACCGACGAATTCAAAAAGAAAACGACGAATTATACACGGTTTGGTCACTCGTTATGGTCCGCAAATCAGTTGCCAACGCAAAGAGTTAACCTCTTACGTTGGAACAAAGTGCCACGCATATTGAGAGTTTTTTGTC